GTGATCCGCCCCGCCTTGGCCTCCCAAAGGCTGGGATACAGGCGTGCCCCCGGCCCTAGGCCTGGATTTCACTTTCAACAGAAACTTTCTACTTAATAGAGAAAAGGCCTTCTGGCAGGCCTTTCCTGCCTTTCTTATACACCAACCCCTACCATCCAAACACATTTTCCCACTGGCCTGTCTCAGTAGAAAAAGTGGCCCACTCTTGAGCAGTGATCCTCTGGATTTCCTTAGGCCCCCTGGGACTGTCACTCGGCTCCCACACCGCAGATGGCTCCTTCTCAAGTGGTTCTTTCAGTTTGTAAATATTCTTGTCATTCCTCTCGTTATAAAGATCTTCTCTATACCCTGTGTTTTCCACAAGTTACCGCCTAGGCTTTTCTCTCCTTTAAATTCCAGCTTCTAAAGAGAGTAAGACTATTCTTACAGTCTTTTTCCCTTTGGGCTGGAGACAATCTGATTTATGCTTCCGGGTTTCTCCATCAAAACTATCTTCTCCAAGGTCGCAAATGGCCTCCTGGTTACAGATCCCAAATGGGACTTGTCAGTCCTTGTTTCTCTCTGGTATTTGTCCTTGCTGACCATGCTTTCCTAAATCTTTTCCTGTTGACAATATAGCACAACTTTCCACTGGTTTTCCCCTTACCTCTCTTAGAGTGACTTTTTGGCCTGCTTGCTCGTTCTTCCTCACCTGTGTTTCCATTATGTGTCCTTGGTCCTCATGGCTCTGTTCTTTGCTCATTTCAGAACTATAGGAGGGAAAGATCAGAAAGAAGGAGCCAATAAAAGAGAGCTGAGGTAAAGGCTCAGATGAAGCTTTGATCTAGGGACGTGGCAGTGGAAATAAAAATGGGGATAAATGTGAGGATATGACAGAGAAAAACATCCGGCAGAACTAACAAGTACACATGGGGGTGAGAGACAGGGAGCTGCTTAAAATAATGTAAACAGACAAACCTTTGGCTGGTTGAGCTCCTTTTTAGCCATGATAAAAGGACAAGCATAAAATAAATGTCAAAATCTTAAACTATTATCTGTGGACTTACAGAATAAAATAAATTTCATCTGTCTCAGAAAAATATTAGATGCCTGGGAAAAATCGGAAAGTTCTATCAACTTAGGTGGAAACACACACACACACACACACACACACACACACGTAAAAGTACAGGACATTCATTAATGACAAGAAAAGAAATGAAGGAAGTTTATATATAAGAAAGCTGTAACATCCTGATCTGTGGAATGAGCAATGTAGATTTCCAAATGATTCAATGGCAACAGCAAAATATAAAACAGATGTTTTGTGGATGAGTGTGTAGTAATGCACTTTATATTAGGAGAAAGAAAACACAAAAACAATGAAAAAAAAGGAAAACAAGAATGGAAGAGAGTATCTTCTCTCTAAGTTGTCTAGGAATGGTGAGAAACACCACAGAGGAGCTTGAAAAAGATGCAGGAATTTCAAAATCAGATATTAAATAGGACTGAATAGAGATTCTTGTGAACCAAATGATATTTTCCCCAAATTCATATGTTGACAACTGAACTCCTAATGTAACTGTATTTGGAGACAGGGGCTTCTAGGGAGATAACTAAGGTTAAATGGAGTCAGAAGAGTGCGGCTCTAATCTAATAAGACTAGTATCCTCAGAAGACGAGAAAGATGAAAAGCGTGCTCTTTTTGCATAGAGAAGAGGCCACGTGAGGATACAACGAGAAGGCAGACATCTCCAAGCCAGGAAGAGAGGCCTCAATGGAAACCAATCCTGCTGGCACCTTGATCTTGGGACTTCTAGCCCCCAGAACTGTGTGAAAATAAGTTTCTGTAGTTTAAGCAATGAAGTCTGTGGTATTCTCTGTGGCACCCTGAATAGACTAACAAAGAAATGTATAAGTAAGTGAAATGAAGTCAGATGACTGAGAATGAAAAGGTCAGAAATTACAAACAAGAAACGACAGTAAATTTAGATACAATGATAAAAGAACAAAGGAAAGGTTAAGTTCTGGAAAAAAAACACTGATAACACACAATTTTAATCTTTCTGAAGTGTGCCCTTTTGGCCTTATTTCCAAGGAATCTATATTCTATACTGATAAGGTGAATAAGGGAAGCAAGCCAAAGATAATACAGCAGAGACAATGATACAATGGACTGTGGCAAACTGGAGAATGGATGACTCATCTAAAGGAGGCAGTCCATCTCAGCTCATTGATGGATGTCATCAAAGAATGTAGAGCTGAGGTCCAGAACTCCGGATTATTTTCAAGAAGTCAGAAATCTGCATTTCTTTTAGGTGAAATGTTTAAATATCTGGACAGACAGACACACACATACACACACACACACACGAGACCCCATGCATACTTGCTGGTCTGAGGGTATCCCAGGCACTGCCATACTTTTGTGCCTTAGCTCCTGACTTCTAGGCCCTGTTCTTCTTGTTTACTCCATCGTGTCTACATGGTCTGCAATGCTGTCTTCCTCTTTGGCTTTCTCTGACCACTAAAGCCCACTCTAGCAAGATCAGACTGTAGTGATCCTCTTTCTTCTTTTATCTCTCACAATCTATACACAATCTATCAAAAAGTTACCTTGAAAATACATAGAACATCTAGACCTTTGCTTGTAGCCCAGATAGAGTAGGAGCAACTAGATTTACCTCTCGTCTAAAACAACAACAACAACAAAACCCGAACAAAACACATGAAACAACAACTTTCAAGATACTGAGCCACAGACAATGAAGATCCGCAAAGGTTCCCCTCAAGTATCCAGCAGAGAACTGATGTGTGCACACATCTGGGAAAATTACTTGAGGCCCCGAACAGTGTTTATTCCTACTAGCAATGAACAGAACTGTCCCCGAGGAAGCCCAGACACTGGCCTTACTAGACAAAGACTTAAAATTCGTAATTAAAAATGTGTTCAAAGAACTAAAGGAAACATGTCTAAAGAACTAATGTATGAGCAATGTCTCACTAAATAGAGAATATGAATAAAGAAATAGAAATTACACAAGGAGGAAGTAATACTAAATCTACACAGACTATTTCAGAAAATTGAAGAGGTGGGAATTCTTCCCAACTTGTTCCATGAAGCCAGAATTATCTCCTTATCAAAATCAGCTTAAGATGTTACAAAAAAAATTACAGACCCATATTTCTCATGAACGAAATGCAAGAAGTTCTAAAGGAAATTTTAGCAAATCAAATTCAACAATTTATAAAAAGGATAACACGCCACTAAGTAGGGTTTCTCCCAGGAACGCAAAGTTGGTTTAACATTTGAATATCAGTGTAATTCACCATATTAAGAAATTTAAAAACAAAAACCATAGATTACTTAACCAATGCAAAAACACATTTGAGAAATCAAACATCTATTCCTGACAAAAACTCTTAGGAAAGGGAAACTACCTAATAAAGGGCATTTATAAAAAACCTGGAATAACATCATACTTCATGGTAAAAGAGCAAATGCTTTCCTATTCATTTCCCACATGATCAGGAACAAGACAAGAATGTCTATTCTCACTAATTTTATTTAACACTGTATTAGAGGTTCTACCCAGTGTAACAGGGTGAAAAAAAAAATTAAAGTCACCCAGATTGTGAAGAAAGAAAACTGTTTTTTATTTGCATGATTGTCTACATAGACTATCTCGTGGAATCTACTAAAAGCTATTACAACAAACAAGTGAGTTTAGTAGCGTGGCATAAAACAAGATCGACAAACAATCATCGGTAGTATTTCTATAAACTAGTAACAAATACCTGTAAATTGAAACTTAAAAACAATACCATTTACATAAGAAATATGTAGGAATAAATCAACCAAAGACCTATACACTGTATTTCCAAGACCTACACATTGAAAACAAAAAAAATTACCAAGAGAAAATAAAGAAGTTGTAAATAAATGCAAAGATATATCATGTTAATGACTCAGATGATTGAATATTGTTAAAATGTCAATTCTCCCCAAATTAATATCTGGATTAAATGCAATATCAATTGGAATATGCTATAGAAATTCATAAGCTAATTCTAAAATTCATGTGGAAATGGAAAGAACCCTAAATATTAAATAGCCAAACCAACTTTGAAAAGGACAAAGTTGGAGGACTAATATTATCTGATTTCAAGACATACTACAAAACTACTCAGTAATTAAAATAATGTGGTAGTAGCATAAAGATGGAGAAATAGAAAAACAATTGGCTGGGTGCTTTGGTTCATGCCTGCAATTCCAGCACTTGGGGAGGCTGAGGCAGGTGGATCACTTGAGGCCAGGAGTTTGAGATCAGCCTAGCCAACATAGTGAAACCCCATCTCTACTAAAAATACAATAAATTAGCCGGGTGTTGTGGTGTGCACCTGTAATCCCAGCTACTCAGGAGGCTGAGGCAGGAGAATCACCTGAACCCGGGAGGTGGAGGTTGCAGTGAGTTGAGATTGCATCACTGCACTCCAGCCCGGGCGACAGTGTGAGACTCCATCTCATAAAAAAAAAACAAACAAAAAAACCCCCAAATTAGCTTGTGTAGTGGTGTACGCCTATTAATCCAGCTACTCGGGTGGCTGAGGCAGGAGAATTGCTTGAACCCTGGAGGCAGAGGTTTCAGTGAGCCAAGATCATGCCATTGCACTCCAGCTTGGATGACAAAGGGAGATTCTGCCTCAAAACAACCAACCAACCAACCAACCCTCCCCCCAAAAACCCAAAAGAAAAACAGAAAAATAACAGACCATAAACAGACCCACATATATATTAAGAGCTGATTTTCAACAAACGTGCAAAGGCCATTCAGTTGAGACAGAGTTGTTTTTCAACAAATGATGGTGGAACAACTGGATATCCAAGTGCAAAAAAAAAAAAAAAAGAAAAAAGAAAAAAAGCAAACTCTGATCCAAAATTCCCATCACATATCACACACACAAACTAACTGAAAACAGTTCATAGTCTTAAATAAAAAATTATAAAACTTCTACAAGAAAATATAAGAGAAAACTTTAGTGGCTTTGGGTTGGCAGAGGTTTCTTAGATATTATACTAAAGCATGATTTGTAAAAGAAAAAATTTGATAAATGGGACTTCAACAAAGTAAAAAAGTTTGCTCTTCAAAAGTCACTGCTGAAAGAATAAAAAGGCAAAACAGAGATTAGGAAAAATATCTGAAAATCACATAGTTGACAAAGAACATATTTAGAATATATAAATAACTCTTAAAACTTAATAAAACAAACAACCTAATACAAATGAGTAAAAGATTTGAACAGAAATTTCACCAAAGAAGATGTATGCATGGAAGATAAGCACATTAAAGGATGCTTAACATCATTAGTTGTTGGGGATATGCAAAATCAAACCACAACGATATATCTCTACATGTATTAGAGCGGCTAAATTAGAAGGACTGACCACATGAAATATTGGTGAGGAAGCAGAACTCATACATGTTGGTAGATGGTAGGACTGTAAAATGGTACAATCATATGGAAAACAATTTGGCAGTTTCTTAAAAAGTTAAGCATAAACAAACTATATAATCCAGCCGTTCTACTCCTAGGTGTCACCCAAGAAAAATGAAAGCATAACCTTCTTCAATGCCTCTTTCAGTGATACGATGTTAAACAAAAAACCCTCCTATGTTCATACAAAGACTTGTACATAAATGTTGATATTAGCTTTATTTGTAGTAGCCACAAAAACTTGTACATAAATGTTGACATTAGCTTTATTTGT